AATTTTTAGGCATTCGGTTCCAACCCAACTGCATAAAGTGCTACCATTCCAGCCAACAAAATTGGCATGATGCCGTTTTCTGTGTTTTCTAAATAAAAGGTTCTAATAAAGTGCTTTGATTGCACATCGACTTTCTTTCCTCAATTTGAAAATGGTGAATGCATTGCCTTATACTGGCCTTCCCTTCAATGCAGTTTGCGTCAGATGTCAGTTTGTGAGGGTTACTTTAATCTGCGCTTGTTGGTCTACTTCTGATCATCTTGTACTGTCATTAATTACGCTTTTTCGTTTCTGGAGGATCCATCGGAATACGTCGTACGACACGCCTTCTTATTTTGCATGACAGCCCCAGTCTGGTTGAGAGAATGAGACTGAATGCGTCGAGATTGTGTTGTGTGTACCAGCATTGCTCAAGCGTTTTAAATTTTGACTCGCGACAGTACCGGAAATCTCGGTTGATGCACCTCGATCAGCGTGATGTGAGGTACGCTTCAAAGCCCCCGGCGACTTGCTCTTCGATTACGGTTACGGATACTGTCCTGTCAGTTGATGAGGCATTCTGAGTTGAAAATGTGCTAGGATTTGGGGTTTGGGTAAGAACGTGGTCAAGGAGCAAATATTTGCATTCAAAATACGCAGTTTTCGTGACTGGTAATGAAGCATGAAAGACAAGACTTCATATTGCCCTCTTTTCAATTTAGGGTCGATGACTGGGGTACCTTTATATAACATGGTGAATAACGGTTACACCAAAAATGTAGGATGCATAAGAGGTGGGAACTGAATTCTTTGTGTCGCCTTAATCTCCATCAGTACTCGTGGTGGCAGTCAGAATGTAATTTGTTTGGAGTAATGGTGTGATATCACCTGCTGCAGTCCAAGCCATCTAGAAATTGGTGGTTCAGGCGCTGCAAAGTCACCTTCAAACGCCTCCTTCAGTGGGTCGTTACATTCACTAAACAAGCAGCAACATTATGTGGGGCTGAACTTTATGGGTCATATTGTGAAATACTACTATAAGGAATTTCTCTGAAAATCGATCCGCGTCTGCTTAACTTGAAGACATTTGCCCTGAAGTATACCTGCGTTCATCGCCTCGCTGGTAGATGGCGTAACATCTGCTGATGAGGTTAGCCAAGCACCAGAGCTTAGGTTTTGAGTAAAAATGACCAATGTGGAACTCACGCTTGGGCCGGGACAACTGAATAACCAAGGTTTCTGGTGTCCGATCTAGCGAAAACCTTAGACAGTAGGAGCGCGACTGCTTATTGGGCCACTGATGCTGTTTTTTAGTCCTCTTTATAAGTGGCGAACGTAGCCAGTTGGGACAAGTGTTAATAATTTTAAAACAATTGTACTGATTTAACTCACTCCAGTAAAATGACCCTTTTTGATACCGTTATTGCATCACTTTCTAAAGCGAATGCATGTTGTAATATGTCGAGGTTCTTTTTGTTTTTCAATCTTTAAAAAATACAGATGAATCAGCATAGAACTGCAACGTCATTACAAAACTGCCTAGATTCATCGTATACTATGGTCCACACACCAACTTCTGTCTGGAAGACCTAGAGCCACCTGTGTTAGTTAACCTCAGTAGTATTTAACTGAAGTGCTGAGTCAGCGCTGATGAATAAGAAACCGTAACCTCGTCAGCAAAACCATATTCAACAACCCAAGCTCTTAATATACAATTTGTACTCGAAGCGTCTACCAAAAGTTTAAGTAGACAATCTACCAGTCCACACGATTTGTAATGTGGCGATGGGGCACAAAAATTCAGCAAGTTGGTAGGTTTAATCATCGTGCATTTAAAGCAAATGCCCTGCTACAATCATGTTATCAGGTTAACTAAATAGGTAAAGATAGGATAAATAAATTCAGCGTTCCAGATAGCGTTCTGAGAAGTTATCTATGACAGAGGTCGCTGCAAAGCACGAGCGAGGTTGGGAAACAAGCAAGCAAATAAAAATGTAGTTGGTAGAGTGAAGTTTTGGAGGATGTTCAACTAGACAATGACGCGAATAAAACTCATCCAGGTGAGAATAAGTGTTTATTCTAGAATGCTAGAAACAAAGACTGAACTTTCGACATGCAGGTACTCATGATCTTTATCCCTCAGATGATTTCCGACTCAGTCGTCAAAATTATTTGATATTACTGATTATTTTGGTCTTTTAACGGATGTTGTGAGGACTACGCCATTATCAGACTAATTCAATTCGTAATAACTTGCATTTGTTCAGCAACCAATGTTTTACATTCATCAAGTGGCTTCATGGAGATTCTTAGTAGATGATGACATCTGTATTGTCCTCAGACTAAAATGCACTGTAATGATGAATACTACAAATGCGTTTTAAGGATTATTTTACACAAATTTAAATACTTTAAGAGGTTATGAGGATTAGATACGTCTTTGAAGAGCAAATTAGTGAGACTATGATAAAACTTAAATTGCCACCAAATATATTGTTAACATTTTCACAGCCGCCTCTCACAATGAAAATAACGTCAGATTTTAATGTAATTAAATTCTCTTAATTTAGGCCACCATTAGACATTTCATTCCATGTTTGCGTGTGCCGTGCAAAAGCTGGCAAGATTTTTTACAAAAAATGACGAGATTTTTGAGTCTTTTACGTAACGGCCTAATTATGTGTTCACCTTCGCTAATGGTATTCTCTTCAGTATGTTTAACATTCGAGCACGATCTAATTTAAACAAGTCAGTAGTTTTAATTTTAAAAAAATTACAAGAAAGTGACAATTTTAACATTCAACACTGACACAGAATTTCTGAAGCCTAATGGTAGAGGGATTTATAAGGGCCTCAATGACTTTATTTTTGGATGCGGATGATAACCTTGAAAGGGTGGCTCAAACTTGTAACGCGATTGAGATGACATTATGCTATTTGGCCTCAATTTCCACAATGTGTTTTGTCAATTTTTTTAAAAACATAAGTGTTTTATTTTGGCCTCTGAAATGGTACAGGTTTTCCCTTTAGGCTAGAAATTGTTGATGAATCCCTACATATGCAAATAAATGTATTTAAGTTATGTAGAATCAACCTCGATGGCAATAAATCAAAATCGAAATTTATTTAAATCGTATTTGTTTCGCGGTAGATTCTTTGTGTGTTCTTGAAGTCAATTCCCTAAAAACCTATACTTATTGACTTGTGTCCAAAAGGATTCCTGAAAACCGTCTAATTAAGGCTGTATTTCTATGTTATGGAGATTTTGCCCTAAAAGTGGGGTGTTGTGAAATTCATTGTACTCAGCTGGGCGCCTAGCATTGGAGTAATCACAATTGTTTTCTTCGGTTATTTGGTTTAGGCTCTGATTTTGTCACTTTACTATTTCTTTGTGGTTTTCACTCAATGTTCGCATCTACCTGTCTGCTTTTTAAAGTAATTGATCTACATAATCAATTATTATGCATCTTCACGTTATATTCAGTGCACTACGAACGTTGTTTATGTAAACAGCTGCAATATAATCTGAAGGGGCGAGAAGTTAATTCTTGCATAACGAGGTGTTGTTTTTTGCATTTCCAGAAATCTTTGATTTTCAGCACAGTAAACTAACGTCTTGAATTATCTACTAGTTCAAATTACAGTGTTTTCTTTGAATCTCAATGTCATTGGTTGTTTATTACGTCTCCATTTTCTTATAATTGTTCGATGTTTTGGATTGTAAATGGTAGACATGCGTGTGTAACCGATTATCCTAGTCGCAAATACTTTCAAATGAGAGTTTAAGTGTCGTTTGAGTGTGCCAACTTTGATATATTGCATTGTTGACTTCCATTGTAGAAAGTCGATATGGACCTCATAATGCATGGTTGGTTTTCTGAGGCGTGTGATGCGTTTCCTGGACAGGCGTTTAGCCTTAAGGTTAAGAAGGTTTTGTTCGACGAGAAATCGGAATTTCAGCATATGCTTGTTTTTGAAAGGTGTGTGTTTGTTCGTTGCACGTTTACTTAAGTAAATAAGTAGAGGTAATTAGTCTTGAATATTCTAGCGAGACTTACGGACGCGTCTTGGTGCTTGACGGCCACATACAACTGACAGAACGTGACGAAGCTTACTATCAGGAAATGATCGCCAACATCTCCTTAAATGTTCACCCGAACCCCAGGAGGGTGTTGATTATCGGCGGTGGTGATGGTGGCGTCGCGAGAGAAGTTGCCCGTCATCCTTGCGTGGAACACATCGACTTGGTTGAAATCGATCCACTAGTATTGAAAGTGGCACGCAATTATCTGCCCTTCACTGCTTGTGGATTAGATCACCCAAAAGTGACTGTCCACACAGCTGATGGGGCTTCGTTTTTGAGAGAACGGTTGACTTCAGGACAGAAATATGACGTCATTATCACCGATTCCACCGACCCTGGTGGTAAGTGGTATTTATGCTAGCTTGACATATTTGCAGGTAGAATGTTGGAAATGAGTTGAGTTGCCAAATTACGCGTTCTAACATGGTTATAGAAGTATGTCAGTTTGATGCATAGGTACGTGTTTTGGGGGGTTTATGTGAAGTGGTAGTTTGCGTGGGTTGCTTTCTGACCAATTATTTTGTACAGCTTGTTGCACAAATGCAGTGCCTCTTATCAAAAGACGCTTTGATAATATCAATCGGGATTAGAAGAAGATGTAGTCACGCACAAAGTTGAGGAGAATGGTGATGATGCTGATGATGCTGTGATGATTTATCTCAACCAACTCTCGTGGTGCGAGTATTTGTGTTGTCAATCGGTAGCGACGTCCGAGAATCCAGAGCGGTTTGCCGCCTGCAGATGAGCTATGGTCAGACGCCGGTTTATTAATTGTTGTTGACTTGGCCTTGTTTGCAAACTGTGAGACTCACTCCGCCACGTGTGTGTGTGTGTCGAATCAACTGTCGTTTCGCCCGTCAGCCGTCTTTTCTTTGTTCTTACGTTGTTACTGTCGGTTAACTGGTATGAGTTATAAGTAGGTGCAAACGGCACTGCATGACAACATTTGTCTCATGTTAGGATACAAATTGATTAAACCAAGGTGTTGAAAGACGAGTAGACATGCGATACGCGTTTATCACACGCACGCTGGTTAATGTTGTGTTGAATTCTGCAGCAGACTGGTTTTGCGCTCTTTACGTGAAAGTTCAAAAGGGTGGATTATTCTAGTCACATTCCCGTAGACATGTTAGAACTGCGTTCAACCTTTGAAAGTTCTAGAGATGTGCAAAGTGATGCCTTTCATTAAAACCCTGAAACCCTTCTTGCTCGTCTGGGACTTGCAGTTCATATCCATATTAAACCTACTAAAACCATGATAATCGATATGTTTGTTATTGTACCACCATTGAGACCAGTGTCTTTGTCTGGTGGGATTGATTTTACGAAATCCGTGGGCAAAGACTGCAGGTAGAGGTAATAGTCCGTGATAATCTTCACTTACTTTAGTGCTATGTTTCATGTTTCCATTTTACAGGTCTTGCCACACCTCTCTTTACAAAGGAGTATTTCCAGTCGCTGCACCAATCTCTCACAGATAATGGAATTATTTGTAACCAAGGTAAGCGCCTGATGGACGGTAAACTGGCCACTGCGTTATTTGCATGATGGAGAATGTGAATCTGTTTGGTTCGACTTGTGTGCTGCAAGTGCGTTAGGGGGAATCGCCACTGTTTGTTCAACCCATTCTCTAGTAAACTTGTCCCACAAATCATGCTTTCGTTTGTTTCGTACTTGCTAGGCACAGTGACCCAAACAACTACTTTCTTACACCATTGTGCTTGCTTGCAGTTTTCACTGTCTTTATCTCTTGCATTACTTCTAAGTTGACAGACGTAATTCTGTTTTTCTGCTGTGGTCCGATTGTGCGCTGTAAATGCGCTTTGGTAAAACGCCACAGAGTTTGTACATGGACACCGCGAATTAATCGTCGTTGGGACGACACACAAATGTGGTGCGATGCACCGAGTTAGTTGTTTGTAGGGGCTCATGGTAGTTAAATTCGGCCATTGTGCTTCCGTGCCAGCCCGTACTTTGTCGGTGGTTTATGGAACAACTTTCAGTAAACCATTCAAGCATGTTTATTAAGTAGGCTTCCATTAATGGGCTACAAGAGTGCAAGGATTAAACACTTGCTGGAGTAGATAAACTAACTGCGCACATACCGACGTTTTTAAGAGAGTGCGGTCAATTAAACCGATAGAATTACTTTAAAATTTTTACCTGGCTGTACGATCTTGCAAATTGTACGGGATTTTTTTGACTCTGTGGTTGTCCATTTTGTGTTTGATATGCAGGTTTGTGTTGCGCACATCCCGCTGTGATACTAGGCCACATTTTAATGCACATTCTACCTTTGCCTTTTCACCTCTTTCGATGTAACGTGATTTGTGTGCAATAGCGTTGCTAAGTGGACACTAGGGTTTTCATAGACACTACAAAAATTGCAAAAACAGGGACAATTTTGAATATGCTACTGTGGTAGTTAAACTTTTCCCATTTTCGCAAAACCAGGTGGCTATAAACCCACAGATTACACGGCCAGTCGTGTATCCAGGTCAACCTCTGCTGTTGTCTCAACCCATGCTACAGCGTAGAAGTCATCTTTGACGTGTTGTGTGGAGAAAGGCTCTGTTTAACCTTGCACGTATCTCTCTTCCAGACTAGTTGGAAAGTTCAGACTTGTTTCAAAACCCTGATGCCATTAGCGTCGTGGATCTGGCTAACGTTACATTTTGACTGGTGGAACCCCGCCCTGGACCAGAAACCTTTAAAGCAAGAGAACTTTGACCCCGGTGGTTCATGATTAATTGATTTTCTGGAAATATCGAAGGGTTACGTGTTACTTTTAAATTATGCCTGATTAAAAGAGACTTTTCCGTGTGGCAAAAGATCCCACGGCCTGATTTTATAATGCCGGCACATCAAGTTTTGTTGAGGCAACCTCCACAAAACCTTAAAATTGATGGATGTCTATTCTAAATAGTTACCTTAACAATGCAACTAATATGATGCTTTAAAGTACATTCCAGCTTTGCGATATTCTTTTGATATTTTTTACAAAATGACATTTTGATTGTGGGTTCGTACCTGTAAATGGCCTTATTCGCATAGTCATTACCTCTCCACAAGACTTCCATCTAATGTTGTCTCTTCAACCAGCGCTTGTAACGTTACTGTGGTAACGGTGATCCCCATGCACGATCCTGAATGTTGCCTCATGTTTTTCGTCTTCAGACAAATTTATGTGGCAACGAGTTCCCGTGGATCACGAATGCACGCACAAAACGAGCAGAAGAGGTTTTGAATAATGCAATTACGGCAGCGTCTTTGATCAAAGTCTGCCATGTTTTGTTTAGTTGTCGACACCACAGCGGTTGTAGCACCTAAGTAGGGGTTCTTTCTTGAAATGTATTCCATCAGTTCAAAGGAACTGACTCTGCTCTGTAACTGAGTAATATCAAGGGCAAATCTTCTGATATGCCTTTAGAGAGCACCACTATAGTTTATCGTCGCTGATCCATTTTTCACAAACTGCGTCTTCTAAATGTGTTTATCCAACTTGTATTGTTTTTTTAGGTGAAACGATGCTCTTGGAAGTCCCTATGATCCAAAAACTACTAAGCTTTTGTAGAGAAATTTTTCCGGTTGTCGGTTACGCCTACAACATCATGCCAACGTACCCGTGTGGTCATATCGGCTATGTCATCGCTAGCAAAAGCAAGGTATTCGAACCGCACTACAGTGACTTACCGTAAACCTCCTGTGAAATAACTTATTTAGGCTGAAATGCACATCTGTCCTTCTTCTGATATCAATGTAAATGTAGCACAACGGTGACCGTTTAGCACAAGCCTAAGAAGAAGTCCCCTTACATTAGCCAATGTAACAGGTTTTTTTCGATTTACTGATTGGTTGTCTAAATATTCCACCTATTCTTGTCACTGATTAGTAAGTGCGCTTTTGCTTGGTAAAGAAATGTTAATTTGGCTGATGCAGGACACCGATCTGCGCGAGGCGATTCGTGACGCGCCAGCTGAGTGCACATTTTACACCAAGGCACTTCACAAGGCGGCGTTCGTGCTCCCCAAGTGTTATGAAAGAGTGAGTTGAGTTGAGTTTTTGACTCCTGCAGTACGTCGTTGGTGCATTGAAGTAGGTTACTTTGGTTGATAGCAATCTGTGTATGTGTGTGTTAGGACGGTGACCATGTCTAGCAGCTAAACCTGACAAATTTGACTGCATCAACGAGAACGGCCCGATTGTAATATCCCTGAATGGTAACCGTCTTCCATCTTGGAAGTTGTACTTAAGGTCATCATGGTGTGTGTGCTTAAGTAGCTAAGACCTGCCAAAGACATTTGACAGGTAGGTTGGTTTAACCGATTTTGCATTTGATTGGTCGGTGGATGGAGTTTTAACCACACTATTTGTCCAATGCTGTTGTTTGTTTTGTGTGCTTAACCTGCATGTGCAATTTTTAGGCATTCGGTTCCAACCCAACTGCATAAAGTGCTACCATTCCAGCCAACAAAATTGGCATGATGCCGTTTTCCGTGTTTTCTAGATAAAAGGTTCTATAAAGTGCTTTGATTGCACATCGACTTTCTTTCCTCAATTTGAAAATGGTGAATGCATTGCCTTATACTGTCCTTCCCTCAAGTGCAGTTTGCGTTAGATGTCAACTTGCGAGGGTTACTTTAATCTGCGTTTGTTGGTCTACTTGCGATCATCTTGCATTGTCATTGCTTACCGCTTTTTCGTTTCTGGAGGATCCATCGGAATACGTCGTACGACACGCCTTCTTATTTTGCATGACAGCCTCAGTCTGGTTGAGAGAATGAGGCTGAATGCGTCGAGATTGTGTTGTGTGTTCCAGCATTGCCCAAGCGTTGCCAATTGTGACTCGCATTGCGTACAGCCCATTATATCAGCCCATTGTCTGGTTTTATATCATCACGTAGCCAAAGTATTTTAGTCAATGAGTTAATAAGTAAAAATGACAACTGCACTTCAGTTTTTTTCCCATCGTCATGCATGACTCGAGGAAATTGGTGATAAATTCATTCCGAGACATTAAGATGTTTTAGCCTAGTTAGGGATGTCGTTTTAAGGAAGGGCTCTCACATCGTCTACTAAAACCTAGGGAGCACAGTGAAGTAATGCGCCGAGGCAAATCAAAAATGCGAGAACTGTAGCAGGGTTGCTTCCATTTTAATACGAACTTCTGAAATGCAGTTTCATCCAAATTAACTTTGATTTCTAACCTGGAATTTGTAGTTAATTCCAGCATTGCATCATCGTTATCAAGTTAATCAATAACTACATTTATGTGGCAAAATTTACATTTTTTTAGGCTTCACTCCCGGGAACTCACATTTGCCATATATGTTGGTCCGAGAATGTAAGATGACATAAATTAAGTAATAATCGAAAGCACGAAATGCTCACGACATTGGCAAAAGAATGAACAACCTATTCGCTGTCGAAATTAGGGGCAAAATTGTCGCACCTGAAACCTAACGATGAGATATGAAAAAACCCTAACAATAACGCTTATTGATGGTCAAAAATGAATGAAACCCTGCTTGTAGGCCGCTTTGTTAATTACTTCCGTGAACTGCTGCATTTTCAACCGACACTGTGTTGATTCCTAAGGTTTTTACTGATGACATGATGTTAGTGGATTCAGATACACACTGCCTGCGTCATCTTCCTGAATATGTTTTTTTTCTTAAAATCTTGGTAGTCTAGCAACTGATTAATAAATATTAGCATAATAATAGTCAGTAATCTTTCCAGCACATCCGTACCTCAGGCTTGCTGACCATGAGTTGACTCACGAACCGTACGAATAAACTGGGAAAATAAAATACTTGGTTGAGAGATAAGTAGCCCACTTACCTCTTTGTCTTGTCGAATAAATTGAGTGTGTTGTGTTGTCTCATTTTACATTAAGAATTCCATGGCAAGTGAACAACAACCTGTGGGCTGCACCTGGTCACGAAGTTTTCAAATTATCTATAAATGCGTCGCCTTCCACAACTTGGTAAAAGTTTCCCACTAAGTCTTTACTGAACTCAGCAGACCATGAAATAATCAAAAACCTTGCCGAACGTTCCAAATACCGAATTTTTACCACTGGGTGTCATTTGTCACAGACCCTTTAGACTTCACTCCACTACCTGAAATTAACGGTGTCGGGGTGAAATTTCAGAATTTACTGGGGATTGACTTCCTGTTGAATTGGTTCCCTTCGGCTTCCCGCACTCTCCATATTTTTGTATCAGGGGTAGGGAACTGCTGCCACAGCTGAATTGAAGGTGCTTTCTCGGTTATCAGCAGACTGTAAAAGCTATCCTTACGAGGTCTCGTCTTAATCCTTGGGCCTAATGTCAGACAATTTTTACTATTTCTTTTTCACTGGGCGTGGGTTTTTGGCCACTGGGTGTACTTAGTTATCCCTGCCTTGCGTTTTTCGTGTGGCAATATCAGATTAAGCCCACTTTTTGCGTCTGGTGTATTTGGTAAATCGAAAAGGTCATAGCCCTTAATGCTAAATAACCACGATTCTGTAGTCAAATATTTTACGAAGTTAAATCCTGGTTAAAATGAGTAAAACTAAACAAAGGCGAACATTCATGCGAGAATGTCAAAACCAAGTAATTGTCAAAGCAACTTAGCAATGCTTAATAAACCAACAGCTATGACAAAAACACATATGTTTTGAGACAGAGGGCAAAATGTAATTGCCAATACAAGTTGTGCAAGTAAACAGAACACATTGGTGCTTCCCTAATGGTCCCTTTGCAAGAATACTAGTTTTATCAAATTAGTCTTTGGTGTTTGATTCTAATTTTTTAATCCATCTTCCCTAGAGTACGAAATTCGACAAAAATGCCAAATACGTACCGTTTTTTAGACAAATACTTCAATTACAATAGTACTTTAAATCGTGATTAAAATGAGGAAAACAGAGAATAGTAAAAAAAGGGGCAATGCTCAATAAACCAACAGAACTTGCAAAAATTTGGTCTTCCTTCGCATGTGATCAAATCTGATTGCAAGAAAATTATAGCAATAATTTCCCTTTAATGTGCTTTTTTTATACATTCTCCGTGATGTACAAAACATATTGGGGTGGACAGTCTTCGATCTCATTGTTATTTCATTTCCCTTTTTAAGTCATATTAGAGAAATTTTTTCAAGAATGTAAATTAGGTAGTGAATGTTAAATTCCCTAGGACATCATTTGCCAAATTTAATTAGCTTATGAGTAGTACTGTTGGTTATAATCTTAAGGCCTTCGGTTTACCTAAATTTTGTGTTAGATAGCTATGAATCGTTAGATTGCTTTCATCCGCTAAAGTCGTTTTACGACGGTATTTTCTTAGATATTACAAATGCCTCAAATCCCGCCATGTATATTAGAGAGCACAGTTGATGATAAAATAGCGACACAAAAAGGTCGTCTCAACAGTTCATTTGGCAGCAGGAGTCGTTTCCTCTGATGTGAAAATGCTTCTGTTCGTGAGACAAACTAGGTCATCGAACTTGGAAGCAGTTTGCGCATGACTAATGGGGGAAATTTGTGCCATTTCTTAAATGTGTTTGTCACTTAACCGATGTAAGCCATCCTTTGTGCCGCTGTCATCGAATCGCCAATACCCTTGTTCTCACAAAATCGTCTAGCCGTCTGCTTACTTGGCCCCGTGTTTAAGCACTAATCTGGCTTGGAGTTTGTACAGTTGCTATGCTCACTGGCATCTGAATCAAATGGCCAATACATGACGTTTACTACTCATGAACTACAGTGAAGTTCAATCGCTCTATTCGGGTCGTTAACATCGGAATTTGATAATCGAATTAAAGCTTAGTTCGCTTAAGGTTGAGAAGATGCACTTGGAAAATTTATTGGAAAGATCGTGCCAAGGTTCTGGTCCCCATAACTATGCGAAACTCATTCACAACCAGCCAGACTTCTTAGTTTGTACTATGTAATTTTGAATGTTGACTGAATGCAAAATAAAAAAAACGTGAATAAGGAGGAAATTTAGGTAAAAGTCTACACAGAGCGACTCTATTTATAAATCTGAGGATGAGGGCAGACAATAATAACAGCTAGTACAGTAATTTGACTTCTTTGTATTCATAAAACGTCAAATTTAGGTCCAGTGCGAAACGATTACTACGGGAAAAATCGGAGTTTAGGAACCAGACTTAGAATAAAAGAAAGTTAAAAGCCTTTTTTAACTCATTTGTGCGTCCCTCTTTTCGGGAAATCTCCATTTGCCATCAATTAGCAGTAATTCGATCGAGCCGTGCACGATTAAGAATTATTGCGTTTTAAAATTTTGGAATTTGCAGTTTGGTGGAATTTAGTAAAAAAAAAGGAATACTAAAACCACCAACGCAATCAGGCGTTTCTTTGGAGTCTTAATGTGTTCTGGGGAACACGGAAGGGTTTCATTAAAAGACATCCTACTACCGATCACGTTGCATGAAAAATTTCAATAAAAAAATTATAAACCATTTCTTTTAGGTGTCATCAGGGCTAATTGGGGCTGTGTCTAACTGATGACTGGAACGAAGGAGGGACGTGATGGAAGGGGTGTTTGTGTGTGTGTGTGTGTGTGTGTGAAAAGGCCATGCCATGACCCTACGATGTAGCGAAACGATACGAGCGTAAAAGTGCTTCGCACGGGTGCACAAACCAGTAGGGATTTTGCAGTTTTGAATTGGTCAGGGCTAGTCTATTAATAGGAATTAGTGTTTTTGATAAATTGGGAAGAAGATTGAAAATTCGCACTAATTTTGATTGGAAGCAAAAGGTCGCATCGCAAGTTATTTTCGAACCACCCCAGATGGCACCCATCACCCATTTTGGGAGATAAAAATAATTGCAATTATTTTAATCTTTATGACAAAATAAATATGAGTTAAAGTATACTTTACCATTTGAGCTAGATTTGTTTAAGTGGGTACTCTAATTAAATGAGCTGCATCACAGAGACACCAATTCAGTTCAATTTCCTGAAAACCTTGGCCGCATATTAACGGTGAAGTCTGTGCCGACCACAAATTAGATGTCATTGAATCATTTACCGTTGGTGAACGAAAGTAGTTGAAAAGTACCTCAGCCAGGTGATGCAAATGGCGGTGATAGACCTCCTTTATAATGGATTCTTTTAATCTTATTGTTCAAGTTTAGCCTAGATTTTATCAAGGTTTTTGTGCAATTCTGGATGTTAATTTCTTGGGAACCATTCCGGAACACAAGTATTGTAAACATGTTTGTGAGTTTTAAAGACAGTGTATCTGACCAAGGTCGGTATCTCATTGCTATTTGTGTGTCTTGCAAATAGTTTGCTTTCATTCCATTCCATAGACAGCACTGAGAAATCTTTCCGAAATCCCCAAATTCGGTGTACTATGACGCTGTACTATCGCATACTTTTGCCACAAACCCGCAAATTAAAACACGAAATTGGTTGTTAAGTGCTCATACTATCTTCAAAAATAGTCACCGAATACTCTTGGAAAGCTGTGGTTTTCAGGAAAGCACCATCATCAAAGAATATCAAAAGGAGGAGGGTTGGTTTCAGGAGTTCTCAGGGGGTGTCAAACAAGGCGATCTGAGTAAAAAAATTTGGGGTTGCTGGAAAGGTTTTCATTCGACCGACACAGGCATCAAAGTTCCATCTACATCGATCCATACAGAAAGATCACATTCGGCAGCCCCAGAGGGACCAGGTTTGTCGTCAATGGAACTCATGCGCAGCATGGTTTTGTAGGGCAGTATTGGACTATCCTCCCATCCGGGAAGACAGTGGGAGCCACTGGCGGCTCCACGAGAAAATAAAATGGATCGAGTGAGTTTGCGCAACTTTAGTATTTTCTGACGCTTGGCATTTCTTTTTCTAGCCCATCCACTCAACAGGCGAGAGCACAATTCAAGTAGTTGAAATATGACTAGACATGAAAAGCCGAAGAAGAACGAGCTTAGCCCACCGACTTCAGAGAACAGCTTTGCAAGACCGAACAGTTCTTCCTCCGTTTTCTGAGTGATTGCGTCGTCCTGGATGTAGTTGACCTCGATGCTGTCAAGAGAGGTGGCGTTGGGAAATCGCACTTCGTTCAGTTTGCTGTACGTTGTGGTATCGCAAGCGTAGGGACACATGGCCGTGTCCACCAGCATAAGTTGCGTGTCGTAGAAACAGCGGTGAATACAGTGCTCTTGGAGTTCGGGATAAATGCTCTGAAGCTTGTCTGCTCTTTTTTCAACCCCAAGATCCAGCGCTCTGAGAAATTCCAAGGGGCAGAAGCACCCACACTCGCTATAGAGGTGTTCGCACGTCTTCTTCCATTGACAAGCCGTCTAAAGTTCAAAAAATATTGCTCACTCGGTGGACAAATTAACTCTTCTTTACTTCACTGGAAAAGAATTCTCCCCAAACTCAACAAAACGGAACCCTTCATTTAATCAGTTAGTTGTTACTATCGTCACCGAAGAATAGGCCCCAAATATTTCATGAGGTTTAACGTGGCTTAAGATCCTGGTATTCTAATTAATATTGAATGTTATCATAGACCATCACATCGCCTGAATCTTCATTTTTACGGCCAATACACTGAGCCACTTAAAACGGCGATCCAGTGAATAGCACCACTCATCTGCGTTCAACTATGCACGGCTCACGTGCGAAGCGCCGGTCCCGTCCACCATTACGAGATCCTGGTTGGTCGGGAGCTCGCGTAAGGACGATCCAAGAAAAACACGAGTCATTGGGTGAATGAGTGCCCCAGGACAGACCCTGACTTGTGGACTTCAGCACATTGGCGGAAATGGGGCTTTTGTGCAATGAGCTGCAGCAAATTCAGTAGAGACTCGTTTTTCAGATCTAACAAGTCCTCTGGGTGAACATATTGGTGGACGCTTTTATAAAGACACGTTAAAATACTTCAAGATACTGACCTTTAACTGCACAGTTCGATGGTGGATGAGTAATGCCGAGATAATTTTACCTCCATTTGGGGGATTCGGACACAAAGCGCAATGAAAATCGAGAATTGGTTGTTTATTGTTTGGTCGAGTATGATGTTTACTTTAGTCATGCACTAGGTTTAGTGGAGACTGAAGTTGATGTCAATGAGATTTCAGTAGCTGTACTGACGACTGGATCACATGATCGAATGTTAGCGTACAAAATGGAGTATACGTTCGATTTCAACAGGCCTCACAAATACCACTGAAAATTGAATCGCGTTGATTCACGTCCAATAACACGGTCGTTGCAGCGTTGCACACGGCGTGCCCGTCAGTCACGGAGGCCAGCTGCGCATTCACCCCCTGTGTATAAACCTTTACTGCTTCCCGCTATTCTCATCTGGCTACTCAGATATTTGCACTTTTACTGATTCAACCAGCCATGCACTCACTTGAGCTCACACGCACACGAAGACACAATTGGTTGAGTGTCTTGAATCCTGTTTATTCAACCCCTTAATCCGGTCGCTCCACCTCCTACACAGGGTTCCCCTTGTCGCAGCATGTCCCCAACTCCTCCTTCATTAGCACGAATATTTATCTTGGAGTATCTCCTCACCTAGGTCTCGGTGTTAGCTCACACATCCGAGCTATAAATACACACGCGCAAACCCGACACAACGACACCAACGTGTTTGAGCTCTCAAGTAAACGGTTGTGTCCGCGTCCTCTCCGATCATTTTCTTCATCGGGGCTATTAGGTAAGAGTAATCGGGCCAGGGTTAATTGGGCTAGATTCAACAGAGTGGTTTGAGTCAACATACCGGGCCCCCAATACTATATTGACATCAAATAGCAATACTTAGCAAAAAGCATAAATTTGAAAGTTCAGCTTTTGTGGATCGTCCCGATTCACTTCGTCAAGGTAATTATTATGAAGAAACAATGGAAATTCATCACCGTTCTTGTAGAAAAGGTCACTTTTGAGAGATAACACAGGGAATGTTGCCAAACTAGTATGTACGTTCAAGCATTGTAAGATTTGGATTAAGTGTTAATCGTCTGCGGTGAACCCAAACAGCGCAAGACTAAACGAAATAATGTAATCATGTGTTAAGTGAGGTAATGAGCTAACTTGTTGTCCGTGTACGCTTATACTTCCAGATAATGCTCCCATTTGTAAATCGATATCCGTAAGAAGCAGGTAAGCATTCAGCGTATTCAAAATATTGAACAACCGAGGATGTTTCGAGTCACCTGACATCTGGGATTTCACTGCAGTTGGAAATGTTTCTAGTATTTTAAAGAAAAATTCTTTTAAATCAAACCAGTTTGTCGTCATTTAAGGGCAGAGTACGGTGCTTTTCTTTTCACCTGTGTTTAAAACCTTAAACTTCTATTCCCTCTATCCTCGGGTCATTAATTGCCCTCATTCCCACCAGACCGCTATAGGTCATAGGCAGGAATGAAGCCATGTCCGATTAGTAAAGGTTTGCATTCCCTTAAATAAACTCACTTGGTACCAAAAAATTAAGCCACTAAATTTAAATTAAATCTAGCAGAACAAGATTGCATTAACATGGCGATTGGACAGCAACAATTAATCCCTCTTTCCGCAAAAAAAACAACACAATTCCCTTTTCCACCACTTGCTAACGTTGCCACATTTGGAGGTTAGAATTTTGGGATCGATTGAAATTTTTATTTTATTGGTGAGCGGTGGGTTCGGGATATGGCTAACACCTTGGGCTTCCATTTGCTGCAGTACGAGTGCTGTTACCATGGCCTCAACGCATTCTGTTTAACTAAGGGGTTTTTTCACTTCCACTCCTGAAAATAATTAGAGCATTATTTGGACATTTTGTGATAAAAGTCGCATCATCTCAAATCCTAGAAAAAAATTACTTTCAACATTCGCCACTCTACCGATTGCAAAAGTAATGACAGCGAAGAATAACTTCCTAATAAACAATATGATTAAGTTACCACAATAAGTATGCTGCATCCCCAAACACACTCATCAATTGTTAAACTGGTCATTCATGTTTTCCCGTTAATTTCGGTAATTAATTGTTCTGCCTTCTCATAAAACTACCGATGTAATTAAAGGCGTAGTCTATTTCGTTCCTATCGTCATTTAGACATCATGCGAACCTACTTAAAAGACTCATGTGGACTTTGCTTCTGTTAATTAGTTCAAAAACCAACCATCACTCGAAAAATCTTCATTTTCCTTGTTAGCAGCTTTGGAACTTGGCGTGATTCGACGTCACCCGTATTGTTAAGATTAACATTGTAGAAAATTAGCTTAAGACCTGAAGCGATTTTCATAAGTGAGTTGTTGTCTGATGTCACAGATACACCCCATTTTGAGCAGACCCTAGTTTGCTAAATCGTTAACTGTTGGCAATTAAGAACCAGTCCGCAGACAGGAAGGGGCTCTGTGTTCAGTGGGCGGATGCATTTTGGCCAGAACACTGGACGCAAACCAACTTCGCGTCAGACAGGAATGCGCCTCGCCACGTGTGCAAGCTAAAACGCACGCGTTGGCGCGTCCGGCTGGGACTTGGCGTGACAAGCTCGCTGAGGGATGAGTCATACCAGAACCGGCCAGAACAGAAGCCCAGTCACAATGCGAGGTCAAGTAGAGTTGGAAATATCCTTCTCGTTTCTAGGCCCACTCTGTTGCGACAAATGTTGCATTCTTATACATTTGGCCTGACTCTGTGTCTTTTACATTTTGCCTATAATGGTGGCTACTGGTCCTTTTTTATTCAAACTCCTTTAACATGTTTAAAAGTCCCCAGAAAAATTATTCTTCAATTCAGCACTGTACGTTTTTTGGAGAACTCTGAGAGATCAACTTGATGGTCACTACCGGATGACCCAATACAACTCTGAAATCAGCTCTGTTAAGAGGTGATGGCGCCATTCTGAACACTAGCATTTCATTAAATAATTAGTGCACTATCGGGGCTACGAAACCGGTGCGTATTCGTCTCGAGCCATGGTAGCACTAGTTTTACAAGTACGAAGCAGACCACGCATCCAACGAATCCAACACGTGTGCTATTTATAACACACACTGCATCCAAACCTACAGCTGACTGAACACGCGCATTGTCTTGCCGTGTTCTGTTGGGTCAAGAAATAGCTTCGTAACCAGTGAGGTTGCAAATTTTACCTGAACTAGAATTCTTCCTGAATTTCTTTAACCGGAAGAAAGGTTTTCGTATTTTTACATTTTCGTCCGAGTAGACGTGCTCTCCATGATTGTGACTGAGCCATCAGACGATCCCTTGCAATTGAATGTTCACCAAACTGTCAGAGAGCATGGTATTGATGGGGTAGTGTCTAGACGGTGCTGAATAACCCAGGCCAATGATAGTGTATTGCATTGTCCCATGGCTGGATCTATTTCATTTTGCCATTGCAAATAGGTGTCAAATCAAGTTATTGTAGGGTGTCATTAGTAGAACAGGAAATGTGACTTGATATCTATTAATCCGGTCTGTAAAATAGCCTATCTAAGCTCTCCCGGAAAAACATCATGGCAGCCAATGGTTGCGGATCAGATTTTAGAGCTTTTATTTCCTGCTCTACATGTTTCTTTGAAAAGGTTTCATTTTGTTCCTTTAGGGAGGGCTTCACTAGTTTCGTGGTGGTCGTCTCCGATGCTACAACCCCTACCATTTATAGTCTTGCACAATTGATTCACGCAAGTTTTCTTGGATAACTTCAGAGAATGCGATCCAAACCAATGGGAAACACACACGGTGAGAGTGAGGCAAATCTCCTACCTGGTCATAGTTGTACGTCTGTCCAAGAACCTCTATTAGGCCGGACTGACAGGGACGATTTCGATTACTGTAGCTGTGCTGAAGGTTCTTAGAGTAGAAGGTGTGGACTTGCGTGCCGGGTACGATGTGGTCATAGAGGTAGCGACCGTAGTTGTCCAAGGGGAAACCGTCTGCCTCGTGGAGAATCACCTTTGGCCTGCCAGACATGAGGCGGTTCTCCTCTGCTAACTTGACCTTTATTGTCAGCTACCAGAAAATGAGAAGAAAAGATTATGCTTGGATTATTCTTGCAAAACTAGCTGGTTGTGATCATAACCTTTTATTGTTCTCTGCATCTTTGTAAGCTTTCACAGAGTTAGATAGTAAATTTTGGTGAAAATTCCGGTACACATAACTCACCTAGACCCGAGGCAACCCAAGTACATTTAGACGCCATTTTCAGTGTGGTGTTCCTACTATCAAAACCTACAGCCTTTCTTAAAAAATCCCAGCTCTTACGGAAATTGTGTGCGTTCCATAGCCCCGGTTAGATCTTATCGGTTTTCTACTGATGAGCCTAGGGGAATCGTTTTAGTCAATCATCAAGCCCAGCCGCTAGTAAAAAGGTGAATTTCTTGTAACACTGGTATAACAATGACCTACAGAGGTTTGGTGTTGCGATTTATTGATTCAGAACCCAGATTAAAAAAAGACCAGTCTTTGCAGTGTAAGTAATTGGTAACGATAAATAAATCTGGGTTAATTGGGTCATTTGCGGTCAAAATCAGGGGGAGTCAATGCTGCACTTGGTACTTGGTATTGCCTTGGAAATATCAACTACCAAGGCATGGTGCTAGTGTCTGGTTTTGCAATTGATGATTAGGGTTTAAAGGAATGTTATTTGCACCAATGAAATTGTTCCGCTAAGATCAAAAGTGCATTAAATTAGAAAACAAAAGTACATATAATAATGTGAAACCAGATCGGCTTGACCAAATTCCTCATTATTTTGCCTGTTCTAGTCTAAGAGCATTCACTCACTAAAATGTAGCGACCGCTAGCCCACTTTATGACAGTAGTCGGCGTCATACTTCTGTTGATTACAGGCAACTGGGACACGATCTTCAAACGTTATAGCCATTCACAAAGTGTTCCCAACGGTAAACCTCAAAACCCGCTTCGGTTAGATTGTTATAGCTTCAAGCATTGCCAAAAAAAGGCATGTCTAAAATTGGCACTTTCTAAATTGACCCTCCTTCAATCACAAATGGTAGGGTTTCCATTGGATTTTTACAGAGAAATTGTCTAAACACCTTCACATAAATTCTTGTTTATCGACGTCAACTAAAAGCAAGCTTTAGGCGGTTATAGTGGCTGAGCAAGGGCTTGCAAAGGAGTTATGTCAGCGTGCTGGTGCATCGGCGTCTCAATAACATTGTACCCAACACATTGTCGAAGCACCGGAAATTCACCTACCTGCCGTGAGCAAAAAACATTTGTGGCAGACGCTGAAGCGACAACTAGACACGTTTGTTTACATTAGCAATCGCAATTTTGTGGTCGGTCAAAATTCAATTTATTTGATGTCTTGTTAGTGTTGCTGCACTGTTTTTGTAGAATTCCTGCGGATTTTTGAGGCTACTGGGGTCCCACGTGATGTGTGAGTTTATTTATCACTTGAAATAAAAAAAGACTCATGTGGTAACTTACGAGTGGCCTCTACACAAAACCCATAGGTCTAGGAATTTGGGATTAATTTAAACCAAGTTTGTTGTAAATTTTGCATCAAACGAGTGCGAATGAAGTTGATTTGCGAGTTGATCGAATACCATCGATCTTTGACTACAGTTGACGCTCGATATTCACTCACGCGCTGTGCTATAAAGACTAGAGTGGTCAAATATAAATAAAAAGCGCGATATTCTCTATCGCCTGTCTTGTCTTTCCTTTCGGGCTGTTACAGACTGTCAACTAGCAGGGTTGGAAGGTAAAGCTAACGGAGCCGCTACAAGTTCTCTAAATGCGCTAATACAATTAGAGGGCATGTAGCATTGCGATTTTAAATTGATATTTCCCCTTTTTGACAACGAATGTGTCTTCTCCCAAACCCAGCTGATGAGGTGAAGCGTTAGATGCTGCTCAATTGTGGTTGCCTTTCGCCAGCAACTTTAGAAAACTTAGACTGAGCACAAATACCCCTGAAAAAATCTTTCAAGTTCATGGCTGCCCGCCTAATTGTCGAATGAAGTCGTGGTTATAAGATACAGTCCACCTGGCCAACAGAGTTAAAAATAGTACAACCGATTCCAAGACTGCCGTCCTGTTTTAGTGTCTTAAATTTCCACTAACACACTTCATTTAGCATGGATCTAAGCTGTGGCTGCTGCTTCTTCCCGACCCAAAAAGCCTTTTTGTGGATTTTTCAACAACTAGCCGATGATATCTCAAAATCAGCAGTTGTAACATTAAAAACACGCCCAAGAAACCCGAAATCCTAACTTGTTTTGAGTCAGCACTTAAGATGTCTGGTCAGTTTTGGAATTTTCGAGATGAAGCCATTTATTTGGTGGAGAAAAGCTAGGAGAAATTACTGTATGACCTGAGTCGATGTAATTTATTTGGTACGATAATTAAAGGCGACTACATACCTTCAATAACGCGCAAAAACGGGATAGATATCCAACTCTAAACCGAGTTATTGTGGAAATCGGCCACTGGATCACCAAGTTCCATATCTGCCTGAAGTTAATGTGAACTTGCAAAGAGAAGTGATTGTAATTTGTGGAGCTGATTAGGCCATAGAAATATTCTGCCAATTTGACGACTTCGTGTGACCTGCCGAGGTCAATACGTGCAAAACTCGAAAAATAGAATTTTTTATAAATCATGTGAGGTCAAGTAAATTAGGCATGCCTTGGCTGTTGAAGGTATGAAGAAAATAATTATGAAAAAAGAGCTTGGTAGAGCATACAAACGGTTGTAATTTCGAAAATCCATTAATTTTTTTAAGTAATTCTGGGCGTTTAAAAAGCTACCCCTTAATGCTGTTTTGTGCAATTTCGGGCAAAATGACAGGTGGCCATTTCAGCTGCTTGCAGGACATGGGAGAGGTGGATATGATGGACCATTTCAATAATCTTGCAGTTATTTATTAGAACCACCTTTTCGACCTGCCAGAGGATAAAATTTAATAGCGAATTGACTGTGTTCAGTCTAAACTTGAACCAGCTACCAGTTGCGAGAGCCACGCATTTCAGCTGATATCAGGGACAACGCTTCAACACTACCACTTGAATTAGCCAATGAAAACACCCAGAAAGACGGCAAAGGTGACAAATTCTTGATTATTTGTCAAATAAAACTGAAATTGATTCACGATTGGTTGTAGTTAGTGAAAACAGTCTCATGTCCGATCTCAACTTTCTTCGATAAATGTGTTGTCCACTAAAACTTCCAAGTCAACGCAGAATATTAAACGTACCACAGAAGCTTCACGCTCCGTGCTATCGACCGCTATAAAATTTGGAACACTTTAAAATCACCCCCTTCATTTTATTTTTCATTATCCTTTAATTTTAATTGATCATTATTGACTACTTCAGGATTTCAGGCAAAAAAATGTTGAACAAATGACTAGTGCATTTTGAAGCAGCTTTCACATAATTTACACCCTTTCAAACTTACTCTCTCCACCTTAGTCAGCCCTACCATCTACCTGGTGCCTTATCTGCAGCCTTGGAGACTAAAGCTGTACAAAACCAACCGAATGACGACACAGCCCTTCACATACACACACGCGCATTACCAAGACGAAAATGTGTAAATGGCGCCAACACAACAACAGTTGACTCCCTGACCGTCACATTCCTGTGTCGATAGCACGTGGCCTGTCATCCTAATAGACCAGGTTTGCGGCCTGGTTGCTCTGATTTGAACACTAGAAACCGACTTCAGCGGTATTACCAAGTCAGTGTTAGTGAAAGGAGATAGTCAGGCAAACCAACTTTTGCACATCGTTCAGTACAGTTAGGTTCTTGTGAGTGCAACGGCAGCAAATGAATGACTAGCATTAAGAAAGATTTTTGTTTTTCGGGTCCATGTTAATTCCTAGATAGAACATAAGCTTAGGTCCACTCTAGTCTAAAAAAATTCCATTTCGAAAGTTGCACAAGACGCGATGACCATTATTTAGTGGGTACAATTAAAGTCTCTAGGAGTTGAAATTTGTGTGTCCATGTTCTTTTTTTGGACAACTAGCATTGAAATTCTGATAACTACTGATGGCACCAAACATCAAGTGACCAAAGCCTGACAAGTTGCAAATCGCCCTACATGAGATTTTGCCTGTTCTTGGCTTAATCGCTGACAGTGAACACGAAACCCTGGAGATTTTATTGTTTTAAGCCCAACCTAGAGTGAAGACATCAATAATACTTATTAACTTCTATTTGAAAGTCACTACAGCCAGCCAAGACCCCGTCGGTCCACTTAGCCAATCACAATTTACCTCAAATTTCGAATGCTAGACGACAACCTATGAAGACGGACAAGACACTACTGAACTCTGTCATTCATCCAGCTTTTTCCACTTAAAAAGAACTCGAAATGTTCGCGGGGACATGGTGCTTCACTGTCTGGCGTCAGCCAGATCTCAAAATGACATGAGCTCTCAATGCTACCAGATGCCTGGGATTGCAGGTGCATCGTCATAGTGACCAATTACGAGACGTCGTTCATCCTTTCCCCTGCTTACGCCAACGTGGCAAGCGCGGTGGTAGTCAGCGCGTCAAAGGAAAGTTTTACGATGTGTTGTTCTCAGAGCCTATGGTGATAAATTTTTGATGATGCGCACTGTTGGTGTCACCTCTGCATTTGCGTCTAGAATCACCAAGAAAACAGTTAACAGGTGATGTTAATTTGAGAGACTTTGTCGGTTTCCCATCCCCAGTATGCCTTGAAACTACCGCAGAAAATTTAACTGCTAACTACCAAGTCGTCAAGTACAGCATCTATTTTACCTTCGAACCAACGGTAAGGCACGATCAGCTATCCCGAACGTCAATCTGCACACACAACACAACCAGTTTTATGTCGAATTTACCGGTTTACCAATCCTTTAAAGTACAAATTCTAACAAACTTTTATGCTTGCGTGATGTGTGGCAATATCCAAAGACCTCTTAAACCTGTGCATAAAACCCAATCTCATTGCCACTCGCACAACGAACAGCTGCACCACCCATTGTAACCGTCACTCCGCAGTTACTGTATTTGATCACCTCAGCTCTTAAACAGCGAAATCCGATGCTTTACGTTCTGAAAAACTCTCACACACAATCGTTTATGCTTCTAAGACGTCGTCGCTTCATTCGTACCTAATATTCCCGGTTCTGACCCCATTTCTTTATCCACTATCAAGCTGGGAAGTGCCTCATTGTGACTTCAGTCCAGGGTCTTCATTGGAAGTTTTTGACAACTACTCTTCAGTAGACTGCTAGGCATTTTTTTGATATTTGAGGCAACCGTCTACTGTTTTTTCACAAGTTGCAACTTCTAAGAGTAGGCTAGAATGGCATTACATCATATCCGGATATGAGGTCAGCAAATTCATAAATTACTCCACCTAAAATGCTTGTGAGAAATTAACTGATGCACATGTCCAGTTGTGTACTTCGGAAAGTGGCCATTGACTCATGAAGTGTTTATGCAGAACCGTTCGGTATAAGTTGCCATTCAAACGTCTTGTTGCTGTGACTTTCTTCTTCAATTTATCACTCCACAGTGGCTGTCGATGGCGCCAGTTGTTCATTTTAATCAAGATAAGCTACAACTTCCAATATTAGAAAACTTTGAAAGTGTGAATTTTTGAACACATTCGCATATTTTTGCTGCGTACCGAGCCAGGTTTTCTATTAAAAATGCAGACAAATTAAGAGTCCACAACTAAATCCGCTATTTTGGCCTTTTGAAGCAGCACATTAAAAACTCTTGTTTTTGTCTACAAAATTAATTTTTTGGGTTTTTGGTTGCTAGATGTGTTACACTGTGGCGCATTTTTTGGAATCCCGAAAAAAAGGTTGAATGTCAATCAAATGGCGTTTTTTTTCTTTTAACTTTCCTGCGCACGCAATGTGGTACAAAC